AAAAAAAAAAAAAAAAAAAAAAAAAAAAAAAAAAAACTGTTTTTTTCCCTCCACTTATGATTGGTAAGATGTAAAATTTAAAAATATTAGTATGTTGAGGGAGAGAAGAAAGCCACTGAGGGCTAATTGAATTTCTCATATGAGAAGGCAGGTGACTAAATAATAGTCAAACTTAATATTTGTAATTTTCATTTATTTACTTCTATTTAACTCCTAAAATGTGGTATCAGTGAACAATCCTAAATAGTAAATGACTAGCACAAAAAATGCATTCCAAAGATTGAGCAGACAACCTAAATGACTGAAGCCAATTATAAGCAGTGAGAGACAAGAGGGTATGGTGGGGACTGTGGAGAAGCATCAAGCAGATGCTCCTTTTAAAAAGATGGCAATTTGTTATCCTAATGAAATAAAGGCTGAGTATTGCAGGACAAGCCAGCATTTTATGTGAAATATCCACTCTCCTAAGTGAAAGTAATTTCAATTTTTTAAAAACAAAACATCACTGTGTAACCTTTACCTTAAGCCCATTAAAAATCTACCTAAAAACAAACAAAAGCTCATGATAGAGTTAAGTGAGTAAATGTGATTTACCATTACCATTATATCCCAAAGGATGAAAACCTAATAAGGAGAAACTAGTTAGAAATGAACTATATTTTTTATTTATTATTTTTAAAACTACCAACATTTTTCACAGAATATAATTTTTATCTTTTAGAAATAACACTAAAATTTTATATAAAAAGTTAAAACCAATAAAAGTTTATTAAAATCAAGACTTACTATTCAGGTTTTTATGAAAAAAAAGAAAAAAAGTCAAGACTTACTTTGGGTTATCTAAGTCATATACCACACGATCTATGATATCACTCTGATGTATTAGCCTTTCAATATCTTGAGCAATTTTTGTCCTGAAATCATAAAGGTTTAACCAAAATGTATTATTATACACTAATGTACAGCCTTCTCCAAAATAAATTTTGAATTTAAAAAGTGTATAAAAATTTCTTAAAATTAAAATGATCATTCTTCAATATATTTTGCATACCAAAAAATTAGCAGTACGTAACAAGACAAAAATCAGTATCAGAATTTGAGTTTTAGAAAATAACCACACAGAATACACCCATAAGTCCAATCATTAAAACAAACAAAAAAACAAAAAAAAACTTTGAATGTCTATTATGCCTTTCTACATAGAAATGGCAAGATTTCACTATCAAACCCTTGGGCAAATAATTTTGTATACATAATAGCAGCATTACTAGAAGGTATAAAGATCTGAAAAGCCAGAGATTATATAAGAAGAATAATTTTTTTTAAAACCACCTGGCTGGAATTTAGCTAAAATGCAGTTGGCAATCAGCCTGCATGTTCTATAGAATTTCTCTTTTGCGGTAGGAAAAGAAAGGTAGAGGGAAAGGAAACACCTGTTTGAGGGAGCAGAGGATGATTCCCTGAGTATGTAAAATTCTCTAGACTTGATCTCTGTCTCTGAATCAGTCCAATAAAATAAACAGTAACTAACTAGAAAATTCCTATAACCCTATCACTGTCCTAGAAGGCTAAGTCACCCTTAAAGAACCCACATTCTACTCCATCAATATTTAAGTGAAGGAAGACAACAATTGCCAAACTGTGTCAAAACAGGTGACACCAGCTGGGCTTGGTTGTTCACGCCTATAATTCCAGCACTTTGGGAGGCCAAGGACGAAGGAGCACGAGGTCAGGAGTTCAAGACCAGCCTGACCAACATAGTGAAGCCCTATCTCAATTAAAAAAAAAAAAAAAAAAAAAAAACAGGTAACACCAAAATGTGGATTTGGTTCCTAAAGCCAGATTGCCTAGAACTTCAGGTAGACTGGCCACAAAGCCCTACTAGTGTTAATACATAGCTACTTTTCATGTAAAACTTATTCTTAAAGAGGAAGGTGATTATATGCACTGATTTAAATTTCAAGTTTGTTCATTTCAGCTAAAGATAAGTAATGCAGATTAGAACTGTGGCTTATAGATTTATTGAGAGCAGGGTGAGAAAGTGTACCAAAATAGTTTATAAAAAAATCTCAAGAATGGATTAAACACTGACAGTCTTAAACTTCAGGCAAATCTGAAACTAGTCTCCTGCACAAAGACACTTTTCCATGATTAAAGGATATTAACTCTCACATAGTTTAGAAATATATCTAACAATAACAATTAGGGTAGATTCTTGGCTTAAATTCAAAATAAGCCAAGAACCTACCCTAATTGAAAACTTAAAAATTACCAGGAAAATATCAGAAGGTATGATAGTTAAACATATAAACAAAGGATACTAAAAAAGCAAGTATAAAGCTAAAACTCTTAATCTACTAATTAAGCAGTTAAGCACAATTTACTTTTAATTTTATCCTGCAAAAAATAACTCATTACTGATACAGTAGTCTATCAGAAAGAAAAGATCTAGTATCAAAAAATTAAGCTACACATTCTTGATTTAAGTTTAATATCATAACTTTAAAATGCCAATTCTAAAGAAGCAAGCTTTTTTAAAAGCTATCAGTTACAGTAATACATAAATAAATTCAGAATTTACATCAACCAGACTGTCAATAGTGAAGAAAATGGCACTTTTATATACTCAAAAATACCACACATAAAATTTAGTGTTCAAGTATGGGTGAATGACTAAATATATCTCTTTATCATAATAATTTATTTAATTAATAAAGTTGAAATATCCCACAAATATGTAAAAGTTAATATTCACAAAGGCTTGGTTTTTGTTTTTTTAGCAAAATAGTATGAGAAGGCTGGTTTTAGCAACTCAGTTCCATTCCATAGCAATGTTCCATAATGCAAAACAGTGTCAAAGAACATGGGCCCAACAGGGGCCAGCAGGTACGAGAACTGAGTGAGGCTGACAGGCAGAACTGTGGAAAACTGAGGATATAGCTTCTGTCTAAAAACAAGCTGCCTGCTACTAAGTAGGAAACAGATGTGAAAGTTATTGACAACCTTCAAGAAACACCAGAAACTTGGACTTCTTTGCGGATGTGGAATCTCCCAAATTTTAAATGCTGGCAATTGGTTTAAAAAAAAAAGCCACTCTGCAAATTAAGCCAAATCATGTGCAAGTTGAAAACAACCTATATGCCTCTGTTTGTAAACCTGTAACAGTGTATTTTTGGGGACATAATTGCCCATTTATATTAGACTACAACTAAGATACTTGAGGGAAATCTTTGCCCTGCCCTAAGCCCCTAGAAGGGGGGCCATGCACAGTGGCTCACGCCTGTAATCCCAGCACTTGGGAGACGAAGCGGGTGAGGTCAGGAGTTTGAGACCAGCCTGGTCAACATGGTGAAACCCAGTGTCTACTAAAAATACAAAAATTAGCTGGGTGTGGTGGCACACGTCTGTACTCCCAGCTACGCAGGAGGCTGAGGTATGAGAATCTATTTATTTATTTATTCATTTTTATTTTTTTATTTTTTGAGACAGAGTTTTGCTCTGTCACCCAGGCTGGAATGCAGTGGCATGACCACAGCTCACTGCAGCCTCTGCCTCCTGGGTTCAAGCAATGCTCCTCCCTCAGCCTCCTAAGTAGTTAGGACTATAGGCATGTGCCACCACACCCAGCTAATTTTTATATTTTTAATAGAAACAGGGTTTCATCATATTGGCCAGTCTGGTCTCAAACTCCTGACCTCAATTGATCCACCCACCTTGGCCTCCCAAAGTGCTGGGATTGAGGGGTGAGCCACCACACCAAGGCCCCAAGACCTATTTAAATACCCCTTAGCTTCAGATATCACCGCTGCAGGTCTTGACAGCTTATCTGATTAAGCAATCCAAACTCTCATTCCTGAGTGGTTCAGCCCCTGGGAATCATTCTCATTCCAGGGTGGCTGTGATATGGCCATTTACAGTTAAAATTGGGCAAGGGAGTAGAGGCCAATTACTGGATTGCCTGTGTTCCAAACACAGTCAACTCATTGCCATTGTGTAAAAACAACCCTATCTCTATTAGCTGATCTGGGTCAATCACTTGTGTCAAGATGGTAAGCCTTTCCCCTCACGTGCTGGTCCTAGATACAAGGAGTCCAGAGTACCCCATTGGCAACCACAGCTTGTTGTTATATTGTACCCTTGCTGTGTCCCCTGTGGTAAGACTGCACCCACTTAGGGAATGAGGACTTCTAACCCTGCAGAGCCCAGAGGTGGAGGCACAGAAAACAGAAAGTCCCTGGATGGATACTGGATGCTACACTAAATAGGGCCACTTCTGTTCCCACCTCCTAGTTCCCAGGCCTATGTACTCTTTCTACCAAACTCTGTAAACATTTCTAATTTAGTGTATGTACCGCATGCTGCAAGATGGCAACCCAACCATGCAGAGGATTTCCTGAGTTACAGCTTCGCCTGAGCCTTTTGAAGACCCCACTCCACGAGGCCAGCTGCCTCTGGATGGTGCCATCTGTAACATGGTAGATGCCCTGGCACAGGCCCACTCCCACACATCTTTCCCAGGGAAGTAAGTCCCCCATTCTGATGCTATGATGTGTGGGGTGACATATCAAGGGGCCAACCAGTGGCACTAAACATACACTAAGTAAAAATAATGAATTATATAAGATGCTACAGGTAAAAAACAAATAAATAAGATACAGTTATTTTCTCAAAGGAACTTATAGTCTAAGGAGAATCAAATACTCACAGCAAGTTCTTCCTTGTTCATTACATACTATACTTGTAACAAGGGATACAATTTTTTTTCAGATACTGATATAAGCCATTATCATAAAACCGTCACAAAAACCAGTCCAGATGCACCAAAAAAGGTATTTTTATATGACAAATATTAACTACTTGGCAATATTTAATATAATTTGTAATATCTAATCTTACTGGGCAATATTTAATAATCTAGTTACTGCTTTTATGAATTCCATATTTTTCTCTTATGTATTTCTAACTATTTTCTAATTAAAATATCAAATTTTACAAGATAATCTGTCCATATTGCTTTATAATGTATTTTTATTTTTTTAGTTTTTAAT